CTAACATTTCCCTTGGACATTGGCGGCCTGTCTCCTGATGGCACCATCGTTAGTGAGATGGGTACAGGCTCAATGGGAGAGGCCGTCGGTGTCCTGACCCCGGCCATGTTCAATGCAGGAGAGCGACCCTAATCGATTTCACCATGGCTCTGGTTAGCAAGTGTGAATGCCCGAGGCCTGAGGTCGGAGTCTCGCAGGGCGAGGCTCTCTCGTGACCTTCAGCGTCTCAGGGTGAATATCTGTTGTGTGCAAGAGACCCGTTTTTCTTCTCGTGACTATGAGAATATTCTATCTAGGGGTTTTCCCTCTATTCAGCATGTTCTGATGGATGCTCGAGGGGTGTCTCTTGGCTGCTGAGCAAGTCATTGAAGGCTGCGCGTGTTCTTGTCTTCGCAGATCCGGCGGGCAGACTTTGCGTGCTGGATGTTACCATAAAGGATAAGGCTCTTCGCGTCATTGGGGTTTATGTGCCCAATGTCCATTCTGAGCGGCCTGCTTTGTTTCGCAGATCGAGCCGTTTTTGGACGACATCACGTCGGGTAGTTTTAGTGGGTGATTGGAATGCCGTCCTTGATCCCAATATAGATCGATAGGGACAAATTGGGTACTAACAACCGGGACGTGAAACTATTTCGGACTTTATCGACAGGTTTGATCTTGTCGATAAGTACCGAATGAACACCCCGGAGGTAGTGTGGACTTGACTAATAGTGGCGCTCGGGACTAGTTATCTAGACCGAGTCTTAGTTAGGAGAGTCGATGTAGGGCTCTTTAGGGTGTCCAAGTTTCCATGAGATAGTTTATACGGATCATAGGCTTGTCCGGTCCGTGTAAACTTAGATAAGTTTGGTTAGGATGGCTGGCTACTGGAAATTAAACTCATCATTATTTGGTGAGCAAGATTTCCGGACCAGCTTTTACTAATGATACAGAGGAACTGACGGGGGCGGTTGTGGGAAATGCCTGGTGGGATAAATTAAAATCCAAAATCAGAACGTTTGCTGCTGATTATAGTCGTCGGCTCAATCTAGATAGATTAGCGGCGCAAACGGCTTTAGAGCAGAAAGTGGATCGGGCGGTGAAATCCCGTGATAGTGGGGAAATAGCCTTAGCTAAGGCAGAGTTGGCCTCCTTGCTTATCAAGAAGGATCAAGCTCTGGTAGTTAGGGCTAGGTTAAAAAGAATGTCCTCTGAGGCGACGAATATGGCCGCTGAATTGCGTGCAGAGGAAAATCAGAATGCATCTCGGCGACATATCGCGTGCGCCACATTGCAGGATAAGCGGGCCATGACAACAAAACGAGGGCATATGTGAGGCCTTTTCATGACTTACTTTCAGGATCTTTTCACCAGGAGCCGGTCTGAGCCCTGCTCAGTTCGACGCCTATTTGGCCGACTTTCCCTGCCTCGAGGCAGCTGAAGCAGCTAGGTGCGAGGGTCCCATCACAGAGTCGGAAATCTGGGAAGCGCTGAAACAGGTTGGCCTGGAAAAATCTCCGGGACTTGATGGTCTTCCCCTGAAGTTTACTTTGAGGCAGTCGCCCGTTTTTGTTCCGCTGCTGGCACTGATTTTTCGGCAACTGGATGAAGCAGGGGTCTATACCCCAACGCTTCACCAGGGGCGTGATCAAGTTGTTACGTAAGGACAAAAATGGTGGGGATGGGTTAAATAACTTTCGCCCTATTAAACACAGAGTTAAAGATTTTGGCTAAGATCTTGCAACCGCTTGCAGGTTGTCCTGTCTAGTCTGATTGGCTTGAACAGACTTGTGCTGTGAAGGGCAGGACTATTCAGGATAACCTTCATATGGTGCGCCTGATCATCGAAACAAGTCGACAGTGAAGCCGCGCTGATCAATTTAGATCAGTCCAAGGCCTTCGATAGGGTTGACCATCATTTTCTGGAGGCTGTTCTTTTCGACGCGGCCGGTTTCGCACCTGGATCCGACTTCTGTATGCGACTCCCAGTGCGCTGGTGGAGGTGAATGGGGTACAATCGGAGCCTTTTCGTATTGTCTCGCTCCATTCGTTCAGGGTTGTCCGTTATCGCCTTTGCTTTACGTTCTTGCATTGGAACCTTTCCTTCGCAAGTTAAAGGCGAATCCGGTCCTGCGCGGAATTGCCCTGCCCGTGGTAGCACATCGCCAGGTATTCTGCCTATGCTGATGACGTTTCGGTTCTTGTGTCGAGCAGAGCCGAGATTAACGAAGTCAGCAAAGAAATCAGTTGTTATGAGATGGGTGACAGGGGCCAAGATCAACCACGATAAGTCTGTTGGCTTGGCGGTTGGGTGCGTGGAAGGGAGTTTCTCTTCCCGGACCTTTCCACTGGACGGATGGGCCGGTCAAGATTCTCGGCGTCTTTTTTGGTCCTGATCTCCAGTTGGAAATGAATTGGTCAGGAGGTGCAAGGGAAGGCCGAGATCGCGGTTAATTTGTGGTCTCGGAGGAATCTTTCCTTAAAGTGGGGGCGGAAGTTTGTGGTTCACACATCTACCAGATTCTCCTTTACCGACTCTCTGTGCTTCCACTTACGTGTGACACTTTACTGGCTGCCAGAGTCAGTCGGGAGATCTGTTGCCTTCATCCATCTAAAGGCGGTCTGGGCATGCCAAGCATTGAGATTCGTCAATATATGCTTCGCATCGCCTTTCTGGATCGAATGTTGTCGCGATTCGGATGAGGAAGGAAGGAAGACGCGTCCGTAAGAACTTCCCATCCCTGAGAAGTGTGCATTCGTGCGAGGAGGAGGCCGGCCGTTTACCCCGGTCGAATGCTCCTTCTATCGTGAATGTCGATTGCTCTGAAGCGCCTCTTACAGGCGTCGGATGGCCTCTCAACGCCCAGGCGTTGTCTCGTAGGGCATTATATCAAGTTTTAGTCAGGGGGTTCATGATGATCTGATTGACGAGCTCGGTTTGACGAGGCAGCAGGCTCGCTCGATATGGCCTTGGGCGCCTGGGTTGAAATGCCTCAATAACGGCGAGGCATCACCATCTGGCTGGTGATACGTGGATAAAGGCCTCTGGGTCGCCAAGAGACTCTGCTCAGCTGGCTTGGAGAATTCTCCAAACTGCCGACGTTAGTGGGAGGTCGAGACCTTGGGTCACGCCTTTCTTCATTGCAGCCGGTAGTGCTGTTGGTCAAGTTTGTTGAAAGCCTCATGGTCCGCATGCTGCAGGGAAAGTCCTTTGTCCTTCAGTCCGTTTCCGTTTGTAGCAATGTGGCACCACTGCTGACAAAGGCTGAACAGTATGTGTTCCACTGCTTGCTAGGTGTTATGAGAGTCGTGATTTGGATGACACGTCAGAAGGGATTCTATGGAGGCGAGAAGTTCACCTCTTCCCAACTGATCTTGTACTTTAAGCATCAGCTTAAAGTCAAGATTAGGACGAAAGGCGGCAGCTCACTTCATCAGAATTCAGCAAAAGGTGGTGAATCTTGCGCGCTTGTGTCGTGTGAAAGGAGCTGACTTTGAGTGGCACATTGAATCCGTTAGGCATCAGGATATTGCTCTTCCTGGGTTGAACTTGTGCAACCCATCCTGAAACTAGGCTAGCTTAGGTTTTCCTTTTGATGATTTAGTTTCTTTTTCAGTTAACTTAGCTAGGGTATGTATGCTCATTGGCCCCTTTTATTTCTGTCCCCATTTGTTTTTTCTTTTGTTTATTTCCCCATCCCTCCCTCGTTAGGTGGTCAGTGATGTCAGTTCCCTGGTGGATGCGGGGCGCCTTTTTTTTTTCGTGTAAGTGATTTTTTTCGATTTGTTGTTGTATCTGAATGAGTGCATGTCAGTGTGAGTGATTGGGATGAATGAATGGTTTATACTATTACAGTCCCGCATTGATTTCGGCCAGTGAAGTGATGTTACTGTCACATTTAGTAATTGTGGGGGGTTTTATTACTAATCTTATTTTCTTTAGTTTCTTGTAAATAGTTTTGTATGCATATTGTAAATACTCATTGGGGTTAATTTTTAGAATTGTTGTTTTATTCCCCTCCCCTCCACAGCCCACAAATTGTAAATATGGGGACTAGTTAGTATTTTCATAGAGACAAAGAGGTATTATGGTGGTTGTAGTAAGAAAGGTATGAATGAATGAATGTTGTTTTTTGGTGTAAAGAATATTGTTTCTAAGATTGGGTCAGTGTTTTCCTAGCTAAGTTATAGTTAAGACAGAAGAAGACCGGCTCTTTCCCCAATCCCCCTTCGCCTTGTGCCACATTTCTGTATTAAACAGAATAAATATCACTTTCCCCTATGGTACCTAGACTTTATGAACTTAAGAGCAGTACTTGATTGGTAGCAAGATCTCATCTTTTTTACAGTTGAAATGGCTAACTTATATAAGTTCTATGTTAATAGTTTCTTCTCTTGCACTTCTCGTCTGTGGAAAACTCCTCCAGTTTCTTGCTTCCCGGTCAAGTTTGATCTTCAAAAATTTAAATGCAATGAGAATTGTTATCTTCTGTATTCTTGATTCCTATTCTGTTATATCTTTAATAGTAGTTTTTCTCATATTCTCTAACATTGAGTAACACCTTGCTTCCTAGTGGCTTTATTACCTTGCTTGGGTGAGATTATTAAAAAAAAAATTTACAATACATTTGATGACCGAGGGTTTGCACATCCCTCTACAATTAGCAAAATATTTGACTCTGCAAACCAACTGTAAAAATGAAATTAGTCAAAAAACATATCAGAATGAAACATTAACTTTTCCCCTTGAGATCTGATGATCGAAAACTTTGAGGACATTTAAACTAATTTATTTGTTTATATTTTCAAAATGCTATTATTATTAAAGATTTATGTTTATATCTTGTTTTCATATATTTTATTTCTTTTTCTCCTCATATTTTACCAAGTTGTTTTAACTTGCTGATAAGTGAAACTGTGGTTGAAGTGCAGAAGGGGGAGTCCTCACAGTTAGTGAATCTTCAACACAGTGAGACACGTCTGTTATGATAAAAAGAAAGAATAAAAATGATTTATCTCACCAGGGGTTCCAGACTGTGCCACTTGTATTGCCTTACGTAAAGTAGGCACCACTTCCTTAACTGTAGACACACTGGCTGTGAATTTGCAAAGGGATTTGAACAAAGACAGTTGATCTATATCTTGCAATGAACCCCGTCCCTAAAAATTAAACAAGATCATTCATTTCTGTCCGAGATGACAAGTTATCATTATTTACACTATTTACATGTGGACTATTGTCCTCGTCTTTGTTGTTGTTATCACATTTCAGCCATTGTGCCCTACGGCCTTCTAACATATACCTGATGAATTCCAGAGGGCATAATGACTAAAATATTGGGATAATAAAAACAAAGATAAGCACAATAGTCTGCATGTAAATAGTATAAATAATATCATAATATAATATACATGCACATATATTTGAATATTAATTTTTAAATATAAAATATGGAGAAAGCAAAACAGATATTAAAATAGATATATAGCTATTTTAATTTTGTTTATTTAAAAATGGGAATAATCTCCTTAAAGCTTTATATACAGTTTATATATATATATATATATATATGTGCGTGTGTGGTATTTAGTGGAAAGTGCTCAATATCAATGATAGAGTTACCATATGCAGTTGCATGGAGAGTTGTTTGTGGTTTCATGCTTTCAAGATCTTCAGACAGGCTGGTTTATTTTTTCAAAAGTGGATCTACTTATGCTTTATTTGTGTTTGTTTATTTGTGTGTGGTGGTAGGGAGCAAATTTTCTTGTTCTGTGTTTGTTTTGGGATGACACTCATGTATACATAGGCACACATACATACATACAGGCTTATACATGTTAGTTCATACATATATACCCATATTCATAATCTTGGGTTAGGTGCAGTTACACATTCATGTTGTAGCATGTTTGTATTTACTGTGTTTAAAAATTAACTTATGGTAATTGTACCATTTTTCCATTCATTTTCAATAGCACCTATATACATTTTCTCTTCCTTGGCTTTATTATTGCTTTCTAACTCTGTTTTAGCCGAATAATCTATATTTTTCACTAAGCAGTTGCCTTCCATATGACAGGCACTTTTTAGATTCCAATTGCATCTGGCTTTATTTTGTTTGCAATCACTGTTATTAAGTAACTTTTTGTTATCAATTATCATTCTCATATTTTTAGCACAGATACACACACACACACATATATATATATATATATATATAATGGTGTGAAGTATGGCTGTATGGAAAAGTGAACATAACCTGATACCAGTTGGATGGCTGCCCCTTTAAACTTCACTGCAGAGACAAAGACCTTTCAAGATTCTCCCCAATAGAAAGCTTTTTCACTGATAACTGTGTGGAAAAGTACCATTTTTTAATACAACCTTTACTGTTATTCAATTTTCTATTGCAAGTAATTTTAATTTACAATACAATTTCAAATTTTTACATGGTGGACTCAAATGAAACTGCAGATAAGTATAACAAATGAAGATGCTTAAAGAAACTTCCTTCAATAAAATAATTATAAGACATGGTGTGAAATGCCATTGTGCAAAATTTAGTGAAAAGAGATAGAAAGGCTTGCTAGCATCATATATTCAATTATATTTTTTCATAATAGAAGTGAACAAACCCATTTGTTTTGAAATTTAATTAAATCAAAATCTATTTAGCTTAAAATATATTATTTAAAAATTGATAAGTAATAAAATTTAAAAATTAATAGTTATTAAAACAAATTATTTTGTATCAAAGTAAAATATCTGGTTTTCCTTAGCAAAAATCATTAATGGCTGATTTTGTTGGAAATGTGTGAGGTCCCTCTGTCAGAGAAAGCCCTAAATTTCTTTTATCAAATATGTAGGGGAGGATTCAAAAAGGTTTAGGGAGGCATGGATTAGAAGAACCAGCAGAGCCAAGTTTTCATATGACAATTAAGAATGTAAAAACCGTCCTTTTAAGTAAGGATCCATATTGGCAACTTTGCCAGATTTTTTAACTATATAGAAAATGTAATGTGCTGGTGACCTGAAATTCAAATACACATCCAAATCACTCTCATAAAATATGAGAATTAATTACTTTGATACCTTGGAAAACAACTATACTGATAATAAAATGGTATATGGTTGTACCTCCAAAATTTTAGATGACCAGAGACTGGCAGCTGATCTCTCCTTTGACCTAGGTCTAACAGATCAGTGGGGGAAAAATTAGCTAGTTACATTCAATGTCTCAAAAACCAAACTGGTGATGTTCTATAATCACCAAGTGGATGGACTCAGAATTTTTGCCTATCACGTTGAACAGGTGTTCTCTCAGGGAGGATCCATGGCTTGGAGCTTAAGCTCAACCCAGACCTCCAGTGGAACTCATACATATGATACATCACTAAAGATGCTGGAAAAATAGTTGGTTCTTTGTACCACGCTAGTAAGTACCTGACTCCTGCTATCCTCTACCTATACAAGAGGCAGATCAAGCTAAAAATAGAGTACTGCTGCCATATCTGGGCTGGAGCTGCTCAGTCTCTACTTTCCAGTCTTAATAGAGTCCAAAACTGTCTACACGTCCTTGAGGGTGATGAATTATTTTTCAGCATCCAACATCTTTCCCACAGACAAAACATTGCAAGCTTCTTGCCAGTCTATTGCTATTTCTATGGAAAGTGTTCTGACAAACTACAGTGCTTAGTTCTACTAGTTCTAACCTTCACAGCTGATCCATCATACCAAGCACATCATAGCAAACCACCCTTATTCTCTTCATATATCATTGGTGAGATGCAAGTTCAAGCAGCTTCTTCCCACAAACCGACTCCCAAAAGAATATTTCCCTGATCATTACAATCTTAACCTGTTCAAGTCTAGGGTTAACCATTATCTTCCCTGTATATCGTAATAAACTGTGCCTTGTACTCTGTAACCCACTACCTTCAGTGGTTCTTGGGCCTTGCAACTATCAATAATGATCAAAATAATATTCATTATATTAAATGAGTTAAGTGTTACATTCTATCAAGAATTCTAATACGAGATAATTTGCATTATGTTTTTTCTTTTGTTTCACGAAGGAAGAATGATTTAAGAATGATTATGCTACAATAAGGATTCTTAGACAGATAATCTTACCTTTAATAAAGTTGCAGCAGCACCGCCCAAGAGAAGAACAGGAGATTCAGCCATTTGAGCATTCTTGACAGCAGTCACAGTGTTTGTTACACCTACAACATACATCTAATATAATTACAAATATACAAAGAGGAATGAGGCATCTTCTGTGAATTTCAAGAAGAATTATTATCATTAGTTGTCTGTAATTATTGAACACATTCTTTTTATTTAATTGCTTTTGTTATTAACTCAGTGTGACCCATTCTCATTTGAGATATGGTATGCTAAACTAGACTTCTACTTAACCTATTTATATGAGCTTTCCAATGTTTGTTTCAAGACTGACTTTTAGATAAAAAACAAATCACTTTAACATATCTAGTAAAAACATGAAGTCACCTTAGCATATCTTGATTTCTCTTTTAAAAAAAACAAAAAACTAAAAAAAAAAAAACTAAACAAATGTACAAACATTCCTCAGGATAATTTTACTGTATTTGTATATGCACACAAAACACTGGAGAAGCCAAAGACAATATCAGCAGCCAAGCTTATGTCCTTTACGTCCACTGCAGACAACTTTTTGAATTTTCACTTAAATAAATGCCAATGTTAAGTATGCTTGCTCTCAACCACAGACCGGCTGTGATTGACCAACAGCTAAGTATTATTGTTTGCATGCAAATCAGTAGCACAATTCTTATGCAAATCTTGGAAACAGTGCCTCTTGCATTGTCTCACTACCCTCTCTTCAAACAACCAAATATGAATGAGGGCAACTCTTCCTGAAGAAAGTATCAATTGATCAAGGGAGAAAACTGATTGTGCTCATTGCATCAGGTGCACCTAAGTTGGGTGTCTCTTTTCCCACTTGTCCAATTCATTTCTACAATATATTTCTAGAGACATTACAAAAGCAAGTTATATTTTACCTAACAAGTGACATCTAAATTGAAAAGAACACTTACTACTCATTGTGAGGAACAATATCATGTAAAGGAAGAAGTTTAAAAATAAAAATGAATCTAATAAATAAAGAGAGGAGAAACAAGTCCTTCTCACTCCATGTCGGGATATAAGGCCCACAGTCTCAATACACTATTGCTGTTGGCGTGGTTTCCAAAGCAAGTAGGTTTACAGGGTGGAGCTGCCAGCCCAATGCCCAACTGGTTTTGAATTCAAAGTCATCCTTTTCCTAGAATGGTTGCCAACCAAGGCCAGAAAGCCAAGTTAACTTCACTTTCCAGTCAAGATAAAATTCAGAAGTGTCTATATATCCTTGTGGGTGACAAATTATTTTCAACCCTACAACTCCTTTCTCAAAGATGAAACATCACAAGCCTGTTACTACTCTATCAATATTTCCATTGTAAGTGCATTCCTAAATTCCACAAGTTCTAACCTTTCACAGCTAAGACCCACCATTCTATGCATATTGTAGTGAACCACCCTCATTCACTTTGTATTCTACTGGTGAGATGTAAATGCCATTTGAGCAGCTGATGAGATGAACTGCTGAGGGATTGACTCTAAAGAGGATGTTTTCCTGATCACCACAATCTTAACCTGTTCAAGTCTAGCGTTAAGTGTCATTTTCCCCACATCTCTGCATAAACTGTGCCTCTTACTCTGTAATCCTCTATCTCGAGTGGCTCTCGGGCCTTGTACAGGGTGAACATCACTATATTTAAAAATAAAAAAATGGATTCAAACTTTTCCCATGAATATTTGCATGAAAGTGAATGCAACAACCTTGGTCAGAATTTGAACTTGGCATGCTGATCCCATTTTCCACACTGATATTTACTCATGCTACACACACACACACACACACACATTTGAATAAATAAAAAAAAAAAATCACCCTTAAGAGGTTAAGGATGATTCCAGAGCATAAAATATAAAGATGAACTCTAACCAGGGCCAGCTGTAACAGCTGCTACTCCAATTGTTCCAGACAGTCGAGCAACTGCATCAGCAGCAAAAACACTTGTCACCTGAACATAAAAAAAAAAACGTGATACATGATATTATATATACATACATACAGGGTGAGACAAAAGTTGCACTCCATAGGAATAATTTAGTAAAAGTATCATTGCACATGAAAAATTTTTCTAGTTATTTAATTGTTATATATGCTGTTCAAAATGTCCTCCTCCTTTTTCAAAAGACATTTCAATTCTGTGCCTGCCTGATTCATTAACATGTCGAGGAGTTTCCTCTGTCATTTTACTGCATCCATATTTAATTCTTTCTTTATGCTCCTCAATATTTCTTGGGTGTATCTGATAAACAACTTATTTCAAATGGCATCGCAGAAAAAAATCCAAGCATATGAGGGGTGGTGACCACAGTGACCAATCAACAGGACCTCTTCAACTTATCCATTAACCTATTAATAAAGTCATTAATTAGTGGACAGAAAGGTTCTTTGTGACATCCGATTCAATATACAAAGAAAAACTGAAATCATTACACATATAGGGGAAAGTAGAAAAAAGCAAATGTATCAAACATTTAGAGAGGTCTTCATATATCTGGATAACAAGTATAAAATCTTTAACACACATTTTAATTAACCCAGTGGTGTTAGGCAGATTTTGAGTGCCTGGGTCAATTTAAATTATTGTACCTCCTCCTTAGCCATGAGCTGTTATAAATTCAAGTTTCATATATATTTTCTCAACCTAATTATTTTTTTTGCACCCAGGGAAATCACCCCTCTGGCCCCACACACATTACACCAGTGGATTAACCTTCTCTCCATAGATAAAATGCAACATGTACAGGATGCGATGGGTAAATTGTCACCATTTTATATTTTTAATTTTGTACATGTGCTTTGTTTGTTTTTGTTGACTGCATAGTATAGTAGGGTCAATTGGGCACTTTATTTGAGAAAAAGAGCACCATGATGCAATTCACTCTGCCAGAAACTTGCAAACTGCATGCTGTACTACTTGGCATTTATGTCAGAAGCTCCAATACAAACATTTCAGAGTTTTTGGGTGTCAATCCGAGGACAGTGTAGAGGATTCAGAAAGAGTCTAATGGTCATTACAAAGGTGTTTAGTGGAATAACTAGTAATGGCGATGCCTCCATTCATGTTCCCACAGGGCCTGAGACTCAACATGGAGACCTGCATCAAGTGCCTTGAGGAGGCAGTGTTGCCCTGGGTCAAGAGAGTGGCTGCTGGAAGACCCTATGTCTAGCAAAAGACTCTGCACCATGCCACACAAGCAGGAGAATGCAGGCATGGCTGTCAGACAATTTCTGTGATCACATCACACCTTACATCTGGCCACCTAACTCCCCAGACTGCAACCTCCTTGATTTTTATGTGTGTGAGACAGTTAAGTGAGAGACCAACAAAACTCCTTGTAACACCAAAGATAAACTGAAGACAATGATTATGGCAGCATTAACCAACTTAAACAAGGAGACTGTTCAGAAGAATTGCAGGAGATTCCGAAGTCATCAAAGAGGCCAGGGTTGAAGCCAATGGCAATTTTATTGAATAAATTTACTCTTTAGTATTTCAAGATATTTTTGTGCAATTTTTGTAAATATATCTGTTAAAAACAGATATTAGTATTATTTTCATTTTTGCATAATTTAGACGACAATTTATCCATCCCATCTGTAGAAGGTCTACAGTCCTGTTATACTGATTATATATACAGTACTGTTTGATAAATCACCTGATTTTTTTTACTAAAAATATTTTTTGTCTATTGTTTTTGGTGTTAAAATAATTTTTAATCTTACTAATATAAAGACCCCTTCTCAACCACCTAGGAAAAAAGTTTATTCACCCTAAGGTATTCCATTGATAATTATAAATTTGGATATAAATGAGGTTCAGGAAAAAACTCTGTGCAAAAAAAGTGACTCAGATATTGCATTCTAATGATTAAATTGGTCAATTTAAAGAGCTTTTGACAAAATATTGAAAACTATTTTACAATACACTCAGAACAATATTCTAGAGAATTCTAGAACAGCTTAAATTAAATCTAGAGTATTTCAGAATATTCCAGAAAGCCTCATATAGTATAAAAACAGCTTGAAATAGCCACTCAGAACCACTTAAAGCATCTATTATTGCCCTCTCAAAAGCATCATGTGAGTCACTTTTATAGAACAGCACTGTGTGTGTGTGTGTGTGTGTGTGTGTGTGTGTGTGTATATATATATATATATATATATATATATATATATATATATATATATATATAATTGTAGACAGCTTCAAGAAATGAAGCTAACAAATAATAAGATATTAAAAATCAAAGTAGATAAATATCAAATCACCTCATGTCGAGTATCAACAACACGGATGCCAAGCTTCTCACAACCAACCAATATGGGGGAGATGTGACCACCTACAAGTGTGAATACATTCTTCACACCATGTGACTGAAAGATATAATAATAATAGTGTATTAGTAGCACAGAGTCTGGTAGAGAATCATGAAATTTAGGCAACATGGACAAACAATTTTAATAATTGAAATAGCTGACACAGTAAATAAATTTTACTTAAACAATTGAATTTTCCTGGTTATAAAATTTAAATTAAATTTTTTTACTTTCTTCCACTGAAAAATTTTGTTTCGATTTTTAAAAAGAATTTTAGCTTAAAATTGTATCGTAAGAAACATACATATCCATTTTCATTCTTCTTTATGTGCCATGTCCTTTCAGAGCGTTGACAAAAATGACTCCACGATTTCCTGTAATTTGTAGCTCCTTATAAATTTCATCTGTCATCCATTCCTTTTTTTCTTTATCTAATTTTCCTTGGGATGATCTCGATTGGTATTTTAATTACTAAATATAAAGTTAATAAATGATTATTTATAAATTACACAAATTAGAAAGTATTACCTTCAAAACTTCAGCTACTAAATCACCTCCATTTTTCTTTGTTTTTGTCTGAACCTAAAAAAAATATAAGTCAAAAATGTCACCACAGTGTATGATCCAAAATTTTTATCAATTTCATAAAAGTAAATCTATATAGATATTCAGTTCTCAAATCATAATTATTTGGATACAATATAAAAGTACGCAATAAAGAATCAAAATTATATGAAGAATAATAAAAATGTGAGAAAAAAATCTAAAAATGAATGATAATGAAAATTTCTTTACGGATTCATAGTATTACTTCATTTATTTACATAATTCTTTGTAAGGTTTTTTTTTGTTAGATGCTTCCAATTACCGGAACAATCTCTAGAACATTCCGCAATTCTTTAAGGTTATCTCCGCACACAAATCGTACACAATTATGGGGAAAGGCAAGGAACTATCAAATTCGCAAAAAGAATTGATCGTCAAACATTGGAAGGAAGGCAAAAGCTATAGGAAAATAGCAAATATCCTGAATATACCATTTACTACTATTAGTTCCGTTATTGTTAAATATAAAGTGGCGAAAACTGTTGAGAACAAATCAAGATCTGGTGCACCACGCAAGATTTCTCGCAGATCAATGAGAAGAATTCAGCGCAAAATTAAGGAAAATCCAACGACTACTCGGAGAGAAATACAGGAAGAATTAAAAGCATCAGGTATTATTGTTACGAAGCGAACAATAAGCAATGAAATTCGTAGAAGTCATCTAAGATCGCGTCCTCCAAGAAAAACTCCACTACTATTGAAGAAGAAATATAAGGATACAGGGTTAAAATTTGTTCGTCAGCCTAAGAATAAACCTGAATGATTTGGGGAAAGGTTTTTTTTTTTTTTTTTTTGACAGATGAAGCAAAAATTGAACTATTTGGGCGTAATAATTCAAGGACTCACGTTTGGAGAAAAGACGGCACAGCTTTTGCGCCGAAGAACACAAACCCAACTTTGAAATTTGGTGGTGGCAATCAGACAATATCATGCTTTTGGCAAAGCTTTGTGGTTCTTTTTCTACTAATGATTCGGGTACCGGTAATTTATGGTAGAAGAATTAATTCAAAAATATACCAATATGTTTTGGACTCTAATTTGTTTGGGTCAGTAGCAAAGCTTGGACTCCCAAATGAATGGTGTGTTTTTGCAACAAGATAATGATGCTATAGTACGGATAAACGAAAAAATGGCTTAATAAAAACACTGAACCTCGAATGGCCATCACAGTCTCCAGACTTGAATTCAATAAAGAAAGTATTTGTGACGTTTATTAAAAATTCAAGCTAATAAAAGAGCTTCGAAAAACATCCTGGACCTAAAGAGAATAAGAATGGAGTAAAAATACCAACGGAAACTTACAAATCATTGATTAAAGCTACACAAAGAGACTGATTGCTGTTGAATTGAGTTGTGTACGAATACTTTTTGTTTTTCGCCTCCTTTTTTTTCAATTTCATTTCATTATTCTAAAAAACTAAATTATAACAAACTTTTCTGAACTTTTTTTTTTTTTTTTTGCATATTGCAGTATTATGTCATGGTATACAAATATTGTATGGATTATTTATAAAGTTCTTTTATAAAATTTATGTTAAATAAAAAAATTCATGATGTACGAATATTTCTATCTCCATTACATATTTATTACTTAACTTAATTTTGAACAGACTTGAATGAATTATGTCCCTTTAACCAAGATTTTTTTAAAACAGACTTTGGAACTAACTTCATTGTTGTAAACAAAAACTGTAAAATTCAAGGCAATACAAAAACTAATGAAAAGAGTAAACAAGTTGAAAAAAAAAATCAAATTATAGTAATATTTTCTTAATTGATATAATGCAACTGAATATTCAGCAAACACTAAGATTAATTTTGTAACAGTTCGGACTTTCTAATACAAACTACTAAAAAACAAAGTCCAGAGTTGGAGAAAAAAAAAATACAACTTTTTACTTTTATGTTATTTTATTTTTTAAGCTTTCGTACTTTAAAATTATGGACGTAATGAACTAAGGAATAGAAATATTTTCATAAAACTGAATACAAAGGTCCAAATTAGCATTAACCATTAAAAACAAAACTAAAAAAATGCTATTTCCCGAAGTACATACAAAGCACACATTTCAGTTTTAACGAAATCTTTACCCGAACGAGTTTTTTTGTTTTGTTTCTACATTTTTTTTCTTTTAATGATGCATAAAAAAAAATACATTCTCATTTTATTTAAAAGAAAATTATACCATAAAGTTCAAAGTATGATTTACAATATGCGCGCAACTTAAACTCAAATTCAGATTTTATTTTTATGTATTTATTTCACTTGGTAGATTTTTCTAAGCCTTAGATGTTTTTATTTTAACTAAAGGATTTTCATTTTATTTTTTTTTTACCAACCTTATGTCGCCACTGATAAAATAAGCCGAGTCGCTTTAATCCACCAAAAATCGCTGTAAATGCAATTGTGGACAATCCCAGGGTCAATAATTGGCACTGGCTTAATTCCTGGAACATTTTATTCCCATTTGATGTCACCATATTAAAAGTAAAATTTTTGTCTACACAGTTGCCACTCCCACCTTCTGAAAAGAAGGTGTAAAGGAAAGCTGAAAGCCGCTTTTCAAAACAATCAGAGTAAGATTTCCAAATAATAACTTCCGGTATCCAGTAAAACGGTGTTGACCCAAAATATGTCTTTAAAATTGTTTGATTTACTAACATTTTCTTTTAGAATTTATCGACGAAGTTTATTGTTTCTTAGCTCATCTTGCACAAACAAATCGGAGATACAACAATAAAAAGTGCAAACGTTTCAACATCTAAGAAGTGTCTTTTAACCGAGGATGGAAATGCGATATTGAAATCCGAAGGCGCATTGAGAAAAGAAAATGATGACTTCCAAAAGATTACTACAAAAAAGCTGTTTCAAAAGGACGGTTATTTTTTTTTTTATTTTTATTTTTTTGACACCGCTATTATATTATTCATTGTATATAGACTTTTGATATGCTTGGCAATGTTTTAAAAAGCGATGATTAGAAATTTAATAAAACTTATCAAAAGTGGATTTGGACCATCTCAACACAGAGTCTTCTTGAGTCTTGACGCAACAAATGTTCTACAGAATGATGCTGAAAATTGTGGGGTTCAGCGTACCCGGATTAAAGGAGAATTTAATACGGGATACCCTGCCCACAAAATACAACGAAAATTTCAAGAAGAAACATCACGATAAAGAACGTTTATAGAAAATAGAACATTGTATATTTATTATTTTGTGAATAGGGTAAAAAAGATTAATGTTTTAGTTCGTTTAAGCAAAAATGTGATTTTGATAAAAATGTCCGTGTTCGCTATCTTTTAACAGAGTAGCAGAATAATGTCTGTTTCTTTTGTTTTTGTATAGTTGTAAAATGAAAAAGGGGCGAGCAATTTAAGTTGAAAAAGAAAGTGTGAATGAGGAATAAAGATAAAAGGAAAATGTACTTATGAATTGTTTTGGAGTCAGTTGTAAATTTGTTGTTGTTGTTGTTGTTCTTTCCTACTCCACTTTCGGCTCTTTGTGTTGAGTTGAGTCAGTGATGAAATTTACTGTCAATCTTCTGTGATCTTTGCGCCCTTCTCTGACTGACTGACTGGCGACTGACTTGAAAACTCTGTATTTATTGTTGACTTTTTTTCACACTGGCTCGTTATCTTTTTTTTGGTTTAGCAAATCGCCTCCTTTCATTAGTCAGAAAATTAATTTCACACCTTATTGTGAAATCTGTTTTTGGTCGTTTTGCTCCGATTTTGCGGGTGTGCAAATCTACTTTGTGTTTTTTTAGTCATTTGTTGGAATATAGGATTTGTATCCTATAAACCCCCCTCCAGATTGATAAATATTGAAAATATTTTCAATATCTAATATATGTTTTAAAATGAGTAGGCCAGTGTACGTGTCTACCCTGATCTTGTGGTAATGTTTTTTAGGTGTGTTTGGAGATGTAGAAAATGTTTCACTTACGTTGGTATTTGTCTCGGCTGTAGAAGGTTCCGACGTACTTTCCTTTGTAGGTAGATCCAAGTACGCTGGTTTTAGTCTGTCTATAGAGACAGTGTCTTGCTTGCCTTTTGCTACAATTGTGAAATATTTGGGTTTTCTGTTGACTACTTGGAAAGGTCCCGTATAAGTAGGGCAAAGAGGCATTTTTACTGTGTCATTTCGTACGAAAACATATTCACACTTGTGGAGGTCTTTTGGAGTGTAAAGGTCTTTTGTTTGTGTTCTAGTGGGTGTGAAAACTAGTTCATTCATTCTTTGCTTAAATCTTTGTACAAAAGATGTAGTTGGTTGGAGTTGACTGGATTTATCACAAAACTGTCCTGGTAACGTCAAGGACGTTCCAAAAACCATTTCGGATGCTGTACATCCTAAATCTTCTTTGATTACATTCCGAATGGATAGTAATATTAGCGGTAGATTTTCTAACCACGTCTTAGAATCATTATTTGCAGTTAATGCTGTCTTATGTTGCCTGTGGAAACGTTCAATTAAGCCATTGGCACATGGGTGATAAGCCGTTGTTGTTATATGCTTAACTCCCAATAGTTTTGTGAACTCATCAAAGAGCGTAGATTGGAACTGAGAACCTCGGTCTGTAGTTATTACTGAGGGACAACCAAAAACGGCAATCCACTCATGTAATATACTTTTAGAGATCGTTTCTGCAGATATATCCCTTAGAGGAAAAACGACAGGCCATCTTGTGAATCGGTCAATAATCGTGAGTAGGTAACTATGTCCGTTTACTTCTGGTAAGGGACCCACTATGTCCATGTGAAGATTCGTGAATCTACCATCTGGTTTTAGAAAATGCCCAGGAGGGGACTTAGTATGTCTGTTTACTTTGCTTTTTTGGCACTTTAAACAAGTTTGAGTCCAGCGTTTTATGTCAGTATGCATGTTTGGCCAGACAAAACGACTGCTAATCAACTTGTCAGTTGCTCGGTGTCCGGGATGTGAAAGATTGTGAAAATGCAGAAATATCTTTTTTCTCAATGAAGGTGGAATATATGGTCTTGAATAACCAGTCCCAGAGTAGTGTTTTTGTTCCAAATGGGACGGGGTGTTCCTTCAATTGTAAAGAAGTGCCCTCTTTTATTTTTTATAATGTGGTATCTTCCTTTTGTTCATCTGCAATGAGGTCGAAGGTAAGGGTTTCAGAATCGATGGATTGTATCGTGGAGCGCGAGAGTGTATCTGCCACGATATTGTCTGAACCTTTAATATAGCGGATATCCGATGTAAATTGGGATATCTAGTCCAGTTGTTGGGTATCTCTGGGTGTGTATTTATCTGTGTTCACATGTAAAGCGTAAGAGGGGTTTGTGGTCTGTGAAAACAGTAAAGTTTCGTCCCTCGAGTAGATGTCGAAAATGCCTTATTGCTAAGTAAATAGCTAGTAACTCTCTCGAGAAGGTACTGTACCTCTGCTGTGCTTTGTTTAATTTGACCGAGAAAAAGGAGACTGGCTTTTCTGAACCATTTAGCTTCTGATATAGAACTGCTCCAATTGAATCTCCTGAGGCGTCAGTTGTCAATGTAAGTGTTGAGTTAGCATCGTCACTGATGTAAGAGAGCTTAGTAAAATCTGCTAACGCTTTTTTAGCATTTTGAAATGCAGCTAACGCTTCTCCGTCAATCAGTATTTTTGCATTTTTCTTCTTCTGTTTTTGCAGCAAGTTTGTGAGTGGGGTCAAAATTCTGGAACAACCTGGAATAAATCTACCGTAGTAATTTATTAAACCGAGAAATCGTCTTAATTGACGCAGTGATGTCGGCTGCTGAAAGTTTTGTATTGCTGCTACTTTCTCTGGGACAGGTGTGATTCCGTTTTTGTCGATCACATGGCCCAAGAAATGTAACTTTGAAACAGCAAAATCGCATTTGTGGACATTTATCTTTAAGCCAAAATGTGCCAGTCTCTTGAAGACTTGTTGAATATGGTATAGGTGTTCTTTTCCATCACGACTGGCGATAAGCACGTCATCGATATATGCAAAGGTAAAAGGCAATCCTCTCAAAACTTCATCAATGAGTCTTTGAAAGGTTTGGGCGGCATTACGTAAACCCAAATGGCATCCTGGTGAATTCATAGAGTCCAAAAAAGGAGTGTAATTGCAGTTTTCTTTTATGTCTTCTTCTGCTACTGGAATTTGGTAGTACGCTCAAACCAAATCCAATTTTGTAAAAACTGTAGTTCCTTGCAAACCTATGGCGAAATCATGTAAGTGCGGTATAGGATATCTATCAGGAACAGTTTTTTGTATTGAGATTCCTAAAATCCCCACAAGGTCGCCATGCGCCAGCTTCTGGTTTCGGAACCATATGTAGCGGAGAGGAGTATGGGCTATTTGAAGGACGTATGATGCCTAACTGAAACATGTGTTGAAATTCGTCTTTTGCTATTTTATATTTGTCCGGATGTAATCTGCGTGGTGATGTGTGTGTAGGTGGTCCAGCTGTGGTGATATAATGTTTAGCAGCGTGACGGATTTCATCTGTATGTGTTAAAGGCGTGGTTAGTGTAGGAAATTTTTTTTATCAATTCATGTAGGCCATTAGCCGTTGGTATTGCTGAACTAATTCCCGTTGACTTGTAGATTGAGGTGATTCCCTTTGTTCTTAGGTTTGTGTTACTGTCAATGAGAGAGTGTGTAGCCATATTCACTGATAAATCGAAATGGGATAGGAAATTTCTAGGGCACATAATGAGAAAAGAAGGCTTGTAAAATTCGACTCACAGGACATATTGAAGTCAAGAGAGACGGAAGAAAGCATTGCATACTCTACCTAAATGAGTTTGTGTAAATAGCTAGCAGAACAGTGATTAGGAGTTATAGCAAAAAAGACAAACGATACTGAGAGCTATAAAGGATAGAAAGTTGTGGCGAGCCATGATCACCAATGTACTGAAGTGTCATGGCACATAAAAGAAACAGTTTATCTTGCAGGCAGAAATTTGCCACCACCTCTAAACAATGTTCCATAACTGGACAATACTTACACAAGGCTGTAAATATGGAGCACCCAGTGAGGATAAAAAACACTACTCAGTCATAACTAGTCTAACAAGACCAAGTTTGCTAACAATTATACCACATTGAAGTGCCCAACACCTACAAAATATAAAGAAAAGTTACAATTACAACCATTTATTTTGTCCTGATTGTAGACAAAAAAGAAAAAAATGCCACAACAAAATAACATGTAAAAATATATTTAGTAAATAACAATTTTTAGGATAAAAATGTCATTATGTTAACAATATAGGTCCTATGAAAAACATCCCTTATTAATAAATGATTCATATTGTAACCCTCAAAGTTATTCTTCTTCATTTATGTGCTATGTCCCTTCAGAACGTAGGCAATCATGGCTCTCCACATCTTCCTGTCCTTTGTAGCTCTTAATAAGTTTTGTCTTTTTGTTATTTCTCCCAAACTCTTTTCTACCATCCTTTTGCTCAAGC